ATTTAGAAAAAAGAAAAACTAAAAAAATAATTTTTTAAAATGATGTAAGCCAGCCTTATCCCCCTTGAAGCCCTAAAATACCCCTTCTCCCTGTATGAAGCTGGTGTACAATCCCCAGCTGTATGATGAATTGCTCACTACTGGGTGCCCTGTGTGCATATGAATGAACTTTGCCACCATTCCTTCATACCTAAGTCAGGGATCTAAGTTCTTCCTCACACCAGAAACAGCCTCTTCACCAGCCAATCTGCATAGGCAGGAGGCTCGAGATACCTCGCCCCTACTGGACACTGGAAGCTTGCACATGCTGCTTCTGTTCACCCTGGAGTGAACAGAAAGCCCAAGGTGGAACCAGCGGCCCATCTGCTCCTCTTCCAGAAACCTTCCTGCCATCTAGCCTCTTCCCGCTTCCCTGCAGGAGTCCCAGGCTGTACAGCTCCTCCCCCTCTCCAGTGCCCTCAGGGCCCAGGTGACCACCATCGCTGCCTGGCCACCCAGATGCTTCCCTAAGACCAACTGTCTCAGCTCTGTTCACCTCCCCCATCCCTCTTTCTTTCCCCAGTGTCCTACCAATCTGCTCAGCCAGGCTCACGCCTCTGTCTCCGGTCCCTCCGGAGCCATATTGTGATGGAAATGAGGGAGAGGATGCGGGAGAGAGCAGCAGAGATTTACAGCTTCCAGAGGGTTTCCATTAAAATCCCTGACAACTGGTTATTTATGAGAGGGATGGCTGCGACGGGAGCTAATAGGCCAGAGCCTGGCACTGCTGTCCCTTTGGGAGCCATGACAGGAGCAACACAGGAGAGCTGCCCCTACTGTAGGGTAAAGCAGGCTTCACCGGCCAGGCAGACCCTCTAGGGCCAGAGAGTGCAGAGTGCCAGCCGGGAAATCACAGAACACCTGCGGGGATTCCGGCCAGGGAAGCTACAAACAGGAAAATCCACGTGCTGAACCCGGATGGGTTTTCTGGGCCTGGGCACGAAGGTTAAAGCCAAGTGTTGGAGGATCTTTCTAGCTGTCCAAAATGTTGTACCTACAGGACCGGTGGGTGGCGTGGTGGGTAAGGCACTGGACTCCTACATGGTCAGCCATGGTTTGAGTCCCAAATCTGGTTGCTTGAAACTCACACTTGGCATGTGTGCATACGTGCCCAAAATCCTGAGAGGAGAATGGAGGAGAAGGGATTGTGGCATGGCCATACTCCCTGAGAGGTAATTATTTGCTTTATGTCAAGTACACACAGCCTATAGCAAAAATCTCTTTAAAAAATTTGTTATTTTTTGGACCGTCTTGCTTCCTCTGACTCAGAAGCAAGAGTGTGTGAAGGAAAAAAAAGAAAAAGTTGGAGACTGTTGTTTTCATTGTCTTTTCTTCCTTCCTTCCTTCCTTTTTTCTTTTTTTTTGAGAGGTTTTTGCTATAGTGCGTGTGCACTCACCAGAAAGACAGAGAGAGACAGAGAGACGGAAAGCGAGAAGTCACCCACCAGGGGGGATGTCCACACCGCAATCCCTTCTCCTCTGTTCTCTTCTCGGGATCCCAGGCAGGCGCGCACACGCATCCAGCATGAGTTTAAGCCACCAGGTCCGGGACTTGAACCACGGTTGACTACATGGGAGTCCAGTGACATAGCCATTATACCAACTGCTGGTTCCATATTATTGTTATTTTTAAAATTTGACAAGAGAGAGGGGGAAGTAAGAAAGCAAGCCATTAGATCTGGGACTCAAACTGCAGTCAGCCATTTGAAAGTCCAGCGGCTTAACCACCCCCATTCCCTCCATTTGATGATTTATATTGACGGTTCTTTTAGGAAATTCCTAGTATAAGCAATGGATTTATTTAGATTTTTAACTTCTGGGAAGAGTTTACTCTTTCTTTATTATGAAATAGTTGTCATATTCAGATAAGATGATTAACTGTATGGGTAGTTTCAGTTTCCTTTAGGAAAACTAATAAGTAAAATTAAGGGAAACGTATTTAAGATACTGAGAGCACTTGTCCTGGTAAACAGAGTTTAAAATGGAAGAGTTATGTGTTGTTTGTTTTTAATTTGCTACAGGGTGCATGCACTTGCCTGAGAGAGAGAAAAAAAGAGAGAGAAAGTGAAAAGTCACTCCTTAGGAGAGATGGCCATGCTGCAATTCCTTCTCCATTCTTCTCAGGATTTTGAGCATACACACACATGCATCCAGTGTGTTTTTCAAGCCGCTGGTCCAGGACTTGAACTATGCAGTTAGCCATATGGGATCCAGCTGCCTTAACCACCATGCCGCCAACTGGCCCAAGAGTATTTTAATAACTCAAAAGGCGATTTGAATTTTAGATGCCTCAACCCTGATTTACTCATCATTCCCCACCATCCATTCATCCTAGTTGAATGCTGACAGTCTTGTAAGGAATTAGGAATGCTCAGGGAACCGAAAGCTGCTGCAGGAATGTATACATGCTCTGGTTAGATGGCACACAAAGGTTTCTTTTCAGATTTAAACAGTCACTACTCCTTGGAGAAAGGGCACGTCCAAATTGAACTTTTCACAGATAGCATATTAGGTCTAACATCTAACTAACATGTTCCAGACGTTAAAAGAAAAAATACTGACACTTGTTAAATGTCCCAACCCGGGACGACAGTCAAACAGGTTTCCTGAGGGAAGGAGTGAGAGCCGGGACAAGCAGCATAGTGTTACAGCACGGACAAGACACAGTGTCTTTAGGGTCGTTCGTTTATTGCGGGCAGCACCGTACAGCACGGACATGACGCATCACGTCGTCTATTGTAAGCAGCATGGAGAGGACACAGGGCCACAGTCCCTCAGGGTTGTCTGGAGACCACACGGTGTCACAGCTCTTCAGTGTCACAGCTCTTCAGGGTCTTCCAGGTCGTCTGGAGATGATGGCATTACGGGTCTTCAGGGTTGTCTTCCTAGGTGTCTCAGGATTGTGGGCCAGGCATCATGGTTATATACATGCTGGTGGGCCGTGATTGGTTGAATGAAGGATTGTAAAAGGTGGGTTATGATTGGTTGTTTCTGTGGACCAATCACAACGTGCCAGATTATGCAAATCTGAGGTTTTCTAAGATCACGGATTTGCTATGGTAAGTGGCCAATCAGAGTATGGTTTCGAAGGTCAGGTTTTTTGAAGGGAACCAATTGTGGCCTTTATGGGAAGTAGCCAATCAGAGTATGGTTCTGAAGGTGAGGTTTTTGAAGGGGAGCCAATCATGGCCTTTGGCATTGTGTAATTGTTTGCTTTCTGAGAAACCGGCCATATTCACTGGTGCGCAGCCTCCCACAGTTAAAATGGTAGGAAAGTCTTTATTCAAAGCCAAAGGACGGAGATACTCTGTGCTCAACTCTGAATACAGTATGGGAAAGCTGAGTAAGGAGTCATTGGATGGAAAATTACTAAGAGACATCAGATTCGGGAGATTCTTACTAAACCAATTTAACAAGATTCTTGTTGAAGTCAAGCCAGATATCAAGGATAGTGGATTCTCTCTAAATTGACTTAGCAGAATTCTTACTAAGTTTATTCTCAACTGTAGTAAGGAAGAGCACTACCTTGACAGAGTTAACTCTAAACAATGACCTCTTCGGGACCAGCAGTTGGCGTAATGGCTATGTCGCTGGACTCCCACGTAGTCGACCGCGAGTCCCGGACCCGGTGGCTTAAACTCACGCCGGGCGCGTGTGTGTGCGTGCCCAAGATCCCGAGAGGAGAATGGAGGAGAAGGGATTGCGGCGTGGCCATCCCCCTGGGGGGTGATTTCCTGCTTTCTATCTCTCTGTCTCTCTCTGTCTGTCTGGCGAGTGCAAGCGCCCTATAGCAAAAACCTCTCCAAAAAAAAAACAAAAAAAAACAATGACCTCTTCATACAAAGGGAATGATAAAACACAGAAACTAGGGGACCCAGTCCCTAAAGGTTGCTGGGTCTCCTTTAGAGACAGGTGACAGGCATGAATAAGTGGCAAAGAGCGCTCACCTATAAGACTCCTGGTGAAAAGTTAGTAGAGGAAGGACAAAAATATCAACTGGGCTGGACCGAGGTGTATATCATGCTGGGTAAAGTCTCTTTACAATCTAAATGATGTATAGTGATTGAATGTATAAATAATAATAATAAAGAAAAAATGAATACAAATTAAAAAAAAAAAAAGACTTCTCAATGGCCCTTAAAATTATGGAGCTTGTTTATATAGGACTGAAAGAAATAAAGTTTAAGGGGCCAGCAGGTGGCACGGTGGTTAAGGGTGCTGGACTCCCACATGGCTGACAGTGGTTCCAGTCCCAGACCTGGTCGCTTGATTTCTCACTTTCCCTCTCTCTCTCTCTCTCTCATTCTGTCCCTCTCTGGTCAAATTTAAAAAATAATAAATTACGCTAGATAACATAATTCTTTAAAAAAAGAAACAAAGTTTAAGAGGAAAAAATGTAAGTAGACAGCTCATTCTAACTGATGAAATACGATGCTTGGGCCGAGACTGCTCAGGACCCAGGAAAGCCCTAACAGGCTGACCATCCCGGGCCTGGTCACCCGAGCACTACAAATCCCAGGACGCACCGCGGCGAGGGCGGGGCTTCCCGACCGTTATGACGTGTGGGCGGGGCCAGCCGGGCCTGCTCCCCGTCGTGTCCAGCCCCGCCCGCGGCCCTTTCCCTGCCCTGTTGCTGTTTCGCCGTTGCTGGCTGTTTCCCCTGGTGAGTCCCTGAAGTGAAAGCGGGCAATTGGGTCGTCAAGTTCCCAGAAATTCAGACTTGCAGTCCTACGAAAGGGCTGTGGGTGTCTCGCGGAGCGGCCGGTTTCGGTTTCGCCCTCAGTCTCCCTTTTCGGGGGAGCGGCGTCCTGAGGCCCTGGAGTCCGGCCCGCGGCCCCTTCCTCCCGAGGAGGCAGGGCGGTG